GGGGGGGGAGAGATAGAGAGAGAGAGGAAGAGAGACAGGGGGTGGGGATGAAAGAAATGGGGCCAGAAAATGAGAGAGAGGGGGAGGGAGAAAGAGACAGATAGTGAGAAAGGCAGAGAAAGAGAGAGACAGCGAAAAAAGAGAGAGAAAAAAAAGGAGAGGGAAGGAGATAGAGAGGAAGATAAGAGAGAGAGAGAGAGAGAGAGAGAGAGAGAGAGAGAGAGAGAGAGAGAGAGAGAGAGAGAGAGAGAGAGAGAGAAACACAAAAAGTTGAAAAAGAGAGATGGAGGGAGAGAGAGAAACAAAAAAAGGAGAAAAACGGTCAAGCAGACACACAGACATAGAAACATACATACACACAAAAAAACAACAACAATAACTTACTTTGTCCATCGAATTTTCGGATGATGGTGTCGATGAAGATGTTTGGAGGGGCCACATGGCCGCGACGCACAGGCATTATTCTGGCACGATGACAACGGTAGCGCCACAGTCGTCAGCGTGCGGAAGGCAAAGGGGTAACGACCAACACGCTCAGGCAAATGGCGGTAATTCGGGGTACTCCCTGCTCCGCCCGGGTCTGTCTCTTGACTGCTGCAGCACTGCATCCATGCTCTGAAGAAGCTTTTGGGAATCTTTTCAAGTTGTTGCTCAACGCACACAGACACACGCACACACACTGTAAGGGTAGAATCTAGTATCCTCTCCTAATTACTTCCAAGGTTGAACGAAGAATCTGACAGAGTGAGCGTGTCACTGATGAACCTAGTAGGTGTTGGTATTCACGGAAAACAGAGAATTAATCAAAACGTCTAGCTATTTTCAATTAAAATTCAAACTTTTAATTGCACAGCTAGTCCAAAGAATCATACCCTGCTCGAGATCCCCTCAAAATCGTTTCATCACCTTATTATGCGAAAAGATTAGATTTTTAACGTGTGCCAGTTTAACCGTAAAAAAGAAAATAGCCGAGTTATGATGATGACGATAATATTAATAATAATAACAATAATAATAATAATAATAATAATAATTATTATTATTATTATTATTATTATTATTATTATTATTATTATCATTATTATTATTATAGTAATAATAATTTTGAAAAATAGTAACGATGATAATAATGATCATGAAAAAATATAAAAACAACAACAATAACGACAACAACAAAAATAATCATATTAATAATAACAGTAATTAATAATAATAATAACGATATAAATACTAATATAACCATAACACTAACAATGATAACTGTTATTGAGGTTAAGATATAGAGGATATCATTCATACCTCTCTCCGGTGTTCTAATAAAGACATTTATGACAGCTCAGTAGCATTATTGCTGCTTTTATGACTATATATATATCACAGGTTTGACGTGACAAAAACGTAAAATCTTATTACAGGATAACAGAACTGGGGTCAGTACAAAGTGAGATGAGAGCAAGATCCTTGAAAACTAATTACATTATGGTCGAGCTAACTCTGAGAAGTAGACTCGTCTCCTGAGTTGTTTTTGTTTGGTTTTTGTTTTTTGTTTTTGTTTTCTTTGTTTTTCCATTTTCCTTACTTTATCATATATACTCACGCTTGTTCTACAACTGTATCCTCATAATACGAAATCTTCATTCTTTTCTAAACACTTTGGCTGAAAATACAAGCCTGTAGTTTGAAAATTATATTTTTTTATGATTAAAAGAGTAACGTACGCATATTATATTTACAACTATACTTATTGCTGTAACCAAATGGGGTAATGATAATAATAATAATAATAATAATAATAATAATAATAATAATAATAATAATAATAATAATAATAACAATAATAATAATAATAGTAATAATAATAATGATGATAATAATAACAATAATGATAACAACAACAACAACAATAATAATAATAATAATAATAATAATAATAATAATAATAATAATAATAATAATAATAATAATAATAATAATAAATAGCATTTGTATGGCGCATACCCCCGCTCAAAAGCGAGCTCTATGCGCTTTTCACTAAACTTATTATTATTAGCATTGTTCCACAACTTGTAATAAGTCAGTGTTGACGCGCTTCTCCAGCTCGGAACGTCGCGATGAATGGCTAGCAAAATGAGTCCAACTTCAAACTCAGGCGCTTTATGAAATAACGGAAGGTATTTAAGGAACTGCAACGCCAGGAGAAACCATGACTCAGAAACGACCGATATTGCGTAAATGTTTCACAAACTGTAAAACCTGGACCAGGTGGCCGATGTGACCTTGAACGGTCACCCAAACTCAAAATAGATCTAACAATTTTCGCAACCAGGGCATGACTGGTATCGTAACGAAATGGCTTGGCAAGGATACATTATTCTTAACTACTACGCATAATAATAATAATAATAATAATAAATAGCATTTGTATAGCGCATATCCCCGCTCAACAGCAGGCTCTATGCGCTTTGCACTATATTATTACCCAGGCAGACCATAGAAACTCCGAAACATTCTCTGCTTCCCGGGAAGCTTACAGTGCAAGCAGCTGATTAAGCGCTCAAACACTAACAAACTGACAAGATCTTTCGCTGTCTATAGCCGGGTACCCATTCCCACCTGGGTGAAGTGAGGAAAGTTCGTGTAAAGTGCCTTTCCCAAGGACACAACGTCGGGCCCCTGACGGGATTCGAACCCACGACCTTACGGTTGCGAGTCCGAGAGCCTAAACACTAGGCCACCGACGCCACATCTAAAGTCAGAAGAGGGTACGATTAATCGTTCTGAAATATTGGACTTACACACCCCTCTACCCCACCCCACCCACCCTGAAAAATATTGAAGCATAATAACAAAATGAAAACCAAAGCAAAACGAAAAGCAAATAAATGCAATTTTTTAAATAACCAACCAAAAACACTGCCCCCAAACAACACTCAGCTAACATAATTATAATGATAATGCGGATTACCATGGGTATGTGATGTGTTTATATGCGCAGTCGCGCTTTCATGAGTAGATAGGTATTTGAGTATCAAAAAGAAACAGAGAGAT